TATATTCTTGGATTAGAATTTGCTCATTCTACTCAAGGGATAAATATGTGCCAAAGAAAATATGTGTTAGATATCTTAACTGATACAGGTTTCTTAGGTTGTAAGCCTGCCACAACTCCAATGGATCCTTCTATTAAATTATCTGCCTTTTCAGAAAATGATCCATTGACTGAGCCTACAACTTACAGAAAACTAATTGGCAGATTATTATATCTAACAATATCAAGGCCTGACATTGCATTTAGTGTTCAAACCCTTAGTCAATTTCTATCAAAACCCACTGTCCATCATCTCAATGCTGCTCACAGAATCTTAAGATACCTCAAAGGTACAGTAGGTAAGGGTATTTTATTTTCAAGATCTTCTCAACTTCAACTAAAGGCATTTTCAGACAGTGATTGGGCTTCCTGTATAAACACTAGAAAAAGCATAACAGGTTTTTCTGTTTTTCTGGGTGAATCCCTTATTTCTTGGAAGTCTAAAAAGCAACCAACCATAAGTAAATCATCTGCTGAGGCTGAATACAGGGCTTTGGCCTCAACAGCATGTGAAATACAATGGCTTTTATACCTTCTTGCTGATCTGAAAATACCTCATATTGTCCCTGTTTGTCTTTATTGTGATAATAAATCTGCTATTGCTATTGCTACTAACCCCGTTTTCCATGAGCGTACAAAACATATTCAAATTGATTGTCACTTAGTCAGGGAAAAAGTAGGCCAAGGATTGATCAAGCTTCATCATGTGGATACAAAAGAGCAGATTTCAGATATTCTAACAAAAGCACTCCCTGGTCCAGCATTCCTCTATCTCATGTCCAAGCTTAATATGCACAACATCCATACTAAGCTTGCGGGGGGGTAATAGTGTTATGTATTTTCATTACTGTGTAATATTAGTATTTGATGTAAAGTTGTTATGTACAACTATAGGTATTGTGTAATTTTACTAAATGGTCCTTGTGTAACCCTAACTATAAAACCTCTTTTCTTTGTTGTAATTTTTCACTTTTGCCGTTTTCCCTTTTCTCCTCTTTCTCTGAATACAATCGGTCGTTCTTCTTCATTGTTCTCTTCCCTCTGTACAAAATCATGTTGACATTGTTGATCTGATACTAAGCTTTCACGAATTTAAAACGAGTCAAGCCGGGTTCGTTTGATAAAACTATTCATTTTTTTAAAAAAATTAAACAAACAAAAAGAACTTGTTCGTCAACAACAAGTTAAGTCGAACTAAGCTTTTCACGAATTTAAGACGAGTCGAGTCAGTTTGTATGTTAAACGAGCACGAGCTCGACCATGATTTCCTCGGCTTGATTCGAAAGGGCGAAATCCAGATTATATATTATTACCTATCAACCCATCTTTGTCCAAAAAATTACGGATCAATAGATAATTAGGGCCATTCATCTGCAGTTCGATCTCTGTAAGTCCACTTCCTCGGAAATTCCAATTCTCCTTGTATTTACAGATACACGATCTCTATTTTCATGAGGAGCTAGGGTTTTTCAAACTCTGGAAATTTTGTTTATTTATTCTGTGAATTTGAGCGACAGATTGGGATGGCGACTGAACAGGCAACGCCCGCTACTGAGGAAGCGAAGGTCGATCTTTTTGAAGACGATGATGAGTTCGAGGAGTTCGAGATTGGCCAAGGTTTTGTAATCCTTTCTTCTATTTTTAAATACCTCCTGTTTTGGATTTTCATTTTAGCTGTTTGTCTAATAGTTAGCTTCACAAACATGGTTGGCTGTTATTGATACACATTAGGGTTTATTAGTTTAGCTTCACAAACATGGTCCTCGTTCGCTCGAACTACGAATTTGGAGTTCGTACTCACTACTTGTCATCAGTTATAATCTTTTGTTACTTTTCCCCTTGGAATTGTTTGTTGGTGGTATGTGTTATTTTCTTTTGCTCCATTAAAATATGACCTTGAGATTGGAAAAAAAATGGCTGAAATGCATATCTTGATGGCTCGACTCGTGATGGTGATGGTGGGATTTATTTTGTTAACTGGGTTTGGCTGAAAAGTATTTGTTATGTTTTAGTGGCACGAGCCTGGCATTGTCTTTGGAATTCATTGGATATTTGTAACCTAGTCGAGTTGGAATGGATATGGAAACTCTGGATGGAAAAAACTAAAAGTTTAGTTTCTGATGAAAATATTATTCAGGCCTTTAGAACCTACTTGAAGATCGATCATGTTTAGCTTGTTAGAAAATTAGTACACACAGTCACAGCAAGTTACGTGTTAGCTTAACAACACATGCAAAGGCTCGATGATTCTGGATAGTCATATCGGTAATCGTGCATGATCAAGCATCCACATACTTTATCAAATTCAGTCAGTTCTTGGGTTGTTTATTTTTTCTTATGTATTTGAATTGGGTAGCATTTAATACGACATGCTTTAAGCGACTGATAGGATGTGTCTCAGGTAATGGTTTTATCAGGAGGAAAAAGTCACAAAATTACTTCTTCTGATAGCTGTAAGTCACTTTTTAAGTAATATTAAGAAACTGGTAATGGTTTTATCAGAAGTTTCGCATGAAAAGATCTTTTTGTATGTACCGTTAGTTCTATGAAATTGCCAAAGCTGTGCTTGATAATCAAATGCATGAGGATGAAGTACAAGTATGATGCGAATCATAGCTTTTCTTGTTCAATCACAAATCTTTGGAATCTTTCTTTAGGATCCCGATTTTTATCTGCTTTTACCGAGTTACTGATTTTGTTTTTTGTAATCACGGGATATTTGTAGAGTGGGAGGAAAATGAAGAGGGCAAAGAAGTAATTCAGCAATGGGAGGATGATTGGGATGATGATGATGTCAATGATGATTTCTCGGTGCAGCTCAAGAGAGAATTAGAGAGCAATGCCGATAAGAAATGAGGCCAAGTGAACACGACTTTTGGTAGCTACACTATGTTTGGGCTTATTATGGGGCTTTGATATGTTTGGGCTTATTATGGGGCTTTTGATATGTTTACTTGGATCCTGTATCTGCTTTCTTGACAGCTTGTTGGCACTGTGCCCAAGTTGCAAACACAGTTTTTTTGATGAGTTCTAAGCTTTTGGACTTCAGTTATGATTACTGTGCTTCTTTTTCTATTTCTTCTTCTTTTTCGATTTTAATTTTCATTCAGAAGCAAAAAGCGAAAATTCAGAGATCATGTTGTGTGAGACAGTGAGAGTTGATGTCCAGGGACATAAATTTTGTTCTTGTTTATAAGATCATGTTATACATGAGCCTTGAGATGGCAGCCTGAAAACCATAAATAATAATGGTTCTATAAAGAAAAAGAAAATAAAAGGCATGATCGAACACAGAAAATTGAAGAAGAAAGAACTGTATCAAGGATTGATAGACCGAGTTGAACCAAACTTGAATAAAAATTGAACCGAGCTGTTGAATTCTACTGAATCGAACTCAAAATACTTCAATGAAATAAATATGCGCTTTCAGCCTCTCAACAGTGGTCAATTAATACGTGGTAACCAATAAAGCACATGGTCAATTGACATGTATTGCAGCTAATAAATTTAAAGACTACATATAATTTTGATGATTGAATTTCATACATTTTCTCTATTTTGAAACAAGTCGAGCTTAGTTGAACTTATGGTACTCGAGTCATTTAACGAATTTAACAAAAAAATAATTATATAAAAAAAATTTCTTTCTAAATCTTACTCGTCCCCATTGAGTCGAATCGTGTCCGACTCATCAACTAAATAAACTTTAAAGAAGTTGTGGTTGACTTGTTTGACGTGGCAAGCCGAGAACTGTTTGTTTTGTTTAAGAGCTTTTTTTTTTCACAATTTAAGGGCTTTTAATCGTGGAGAAAACTAATAATAAAGTTAATAAAACTAAAAATTACTAATTACCAAGTAATATAATCAACAACTTCAATTTACTTAGATCGTTTACTTTGACTGATGGGACATGATAACTAAAATAATCCCGCATTATCTGACGTTTACCTTAACGGATTGGGATAGAATTCCATCGCACCCTTCCCACTGGATTTTTTTATCCCAAGCTGAATATGATGATTTTGTCCTCATAAGTGGCTATAAAAAGACAAAAATACCCCTCAATATCTGTTTATTTACAAACACATACCATATAAATATACCTTTCACTGTGTCGTTCAATTTCGCGAGCAAAGGGAGGTTGAAGGTAGCATCGTCCACTCCGTCGGTGAGAATTGTAAGCTCCGATGTCACATATTTTTTTTTGTGTGTTTTCCGTCGCTAGTTTTTCATGTTCAGGATTGTGTATTTCGAATTTTGGAGTTCCCTGGTCATATGCCCTTTTTTTTGTGTCTGTGTTTTCTTTTCCGTCGCCCTG